GCCACCAGTGTCTGCGCCTCCTCGTCCCGCAGTGTGCCCCAAGCACGCCGGTCTGCCTCATCCCAGCGACCCCGGCTTCCGCGGCGCCGGCCGCAGCGAGCCCAGTGGTCGCGCAGATCCCAGCGACGCCCCCAGTGGCGCCCCCTCGGTCGAAGTATGGGGATGCAGCTGCAAGGGCGGGAAGAGCCACCACTGCCTGAGGGAACAGCTGGAGCAGCCGGACCAGGACATCCGGGGCATGGCCGTGGCATTACGCTGGAGGCGCGTGGCGTCGAAGTTGGCCAACAAGGACCCAGAGGATTGGGACTACCTCTCCTTGCCAAGCAAGACGGACACGATGCTCGACGACTCGGAGCTGCCGGAGATGGACCGCAAGCGGGGCCGGTGAAGCCGCTGGACAGCCAGGACCTGGTCGCGTTCCAGCAAGCCCACGACAAGATGAACAAGGACATCTACCTGGCCGCCGCGGAGGACGTCCTCGTCCTGACTCGACCTTGGGAGCTGCAGTACAGGCCCAAGGAGGGACCGTCGTCAGGTGTGGCCTCTTCAACGGCTTCGAAATGGCTACCGCGACGGGCGTTCGCAGGGCGATACATCTACTGCGTCGGGTACGACCTCGACGACTGATCCTCAGTCCGCCGTGTACCGCGGACTGTGCGCTCCAGAACCTCAACCAGAAGACGAAGCAGCAGCGGGATGAGCTCACGAAGAAGGTACGTAGGGCCCGGCGAATCCAACGAGGTTGCCAGTCTCTCTACAGCCGCAGTTGGTTGAAATCACCAGCCATCAAGCAGATGAGGAACGAGATGCACGAGTCTGTCGTACATGGATATGCGTATGGGCTTCGAGACGTCCGGAGCGGGCTTCTGATGAAGAAGGCCTGGAAAATATGCTCGACTGACCCGGAGTTTGCCCAGAAGGTCGGCCGACACTGTTCGAACCGACCTGGACGCGCCGATAACCATGAACACCGACCTATCGAGGACGGTTAGGTGGTTGAGAAAACGGCGTTCTACCCTCCCGCCATGTGCCGGACCTGGGCCAAACACATCCTGCAGAAGAGTGGAAGTGTGCGCTACGGCATGGAGATCTTCGCGGCCCTTGATCAGGCCACCAAGGATGACGCGGAGATGGAAGATATCTCGGACGAGGAGTTCCCAGAGGGGGACGACACCGAGGAGGCCGAGGAGACAACGTTCAAGGGACTTGGCCTCGAGACGGACCTCACCAAGAAGGTAGAGGTCGAGATCGAGCAGAGATTGGCACGACTACATCGGAACCTTGGCCATTCCAGTAACAAGACACTCTACAAGATACTCAAGGCTTCTGGAGCCTCGGTGACCGTACTACGACAGGCTCTTCGATTCCACTGTCATGGGTGTCATGCGGGACAACTTCCGAAAGTAGAGCGTGTGGCTTCGGGTGTCGAGATACCTACCCCACTGGAAGTCCTAGCCTCAGATGGTATCGAATGGCTTCACCCTTCCCAAACATCCCACATCATGACGCTGAACCTGGATGAGGGATCCGGCCTGACAAGTGTGACCTATCACGGACAAAAAGACGAGAGGAGCGGCAACAAATCCGCCGCAGAGGTCATCAACACCTGGGAGTCGTGGAACAGCCACTACAGGCGACCGGCATTACTTCGACTGGACCCTCAGGGGTGCCACTGGTCTCAAGCGGTGGCCAAGTGGACCTCGGACCGGGGCATCGAGCTCTGGATCGCCCCCGGGGAAGCTCACTGGCTGATGGGCAAGGTGGAGCGCCGGATGCAGTTGTTCAGGAGGCTCATGACCAAGCTGGCCACCCTGGACCCCGAGTGCCCGGTGAAGGAGCTGATATCCTGGCCGTGAGCGCAATCAACTCCATGGACAAGGTCGGGAACCACTCCCCGTTCGAGCACGTGATGGGCGTCACCGGGATGCCCGCGTCCAACAACCCCTTCGCCATCATCGATGAGGACAGCGGGGAAACCCAGGAACAGAGGCGACTCTTAGCCAGGAAAAGTTTCTTGGAATGCGAGTATGCCGAGAGACGTCGACACGCAGAACAAGCCCAGAACCGCGTCTACCAGACCTGGAACCCTGGCAACCTGATGTACCTGTGGCGACAAGGCAAGGGCCGGGAGAATCGAGCCGGGAAGAAAGGCGGCTGGTATGGCCCCGCGCGAGTTTTGATGCAGGAGAAGCGTCACGTTGATGGCCGAACAAAAGTGACGTCGGTCGTATGGGTCGCTCACGGGAACGTTCTCTTTCGTTGCGCACCAGAGCAACTCAGACCAGCCTCGGACGCCGAGAAGATGATCCCGGAACTCCAGAGGCAGGCGAACCTGAACAAGACCATGACCGAGATCTTGGAAAACGCGAAGGCCGGCACGTTCGAGGACCTCATCGACCTAGACCGTCCGGATCTTCAGGCCTACGAGCCCCCACCTCAATCAGAGGTGGCAGGCACCCGGCGGAGGAGATTCCTGAAGAACTACCTGACGAACCCATGGAGGAACTTCCACCTGCTGGACCTGCACAGGGACCTGAGGGTTCCCGAAGCTCGACGCCTCAGCCTGAGGCAGAGCCGGATGGGCCATCGGAGGAGCCGAGCTCAGCACATCCCTCCAGGCCGCCAACGCCGCGAGCGGGGACACCGTCGGAACCGACGGAGGTCGGCAGGCAAACATCAAGCGAAGACGGTCTGCCCGCACGGGACGACTCCCGGAGTGGTGCTACATCGTCCTCGGCGGGGCCGCCAGCCGCTGGTCACCGGCCGAAGTATCGGATGACGCATCGGGGACCTGAGTTAGACCTGCACACACCGCCAGAGAAACGCAACAGACTCAACGACTCGAACGCCGAGATGGCAGATGCGTTAGAGGACGAGGTGAACCTGCTGGTGGACCTCTTCCAAGACAAGCTGGACATCAGCCTAGGAGAGAACGAGCAACAGACAGTCTACTTCGAGTACCTCAAGGAGGAGAACACCACCGAGGCCGGGAACGCGAACCTGATGAGCCACGTATTGAACAGCTTCTTGGTCAACCAGCGGCGGAAGGACAAGGTGGAGCTCACCTGGTCCAAGATGAATTACGACGAGCGGAAGGAGTTCGAGGTGGCGATCGCCAAGAAAATCCAGAACTGGGTACAACATCAAGGACTCCGTCCCGTGCCAACGTCTCGGGTCAAGGACAGAGCCGACGTGATCAGGGCAAGGTGACTTTTCACGCGGAGGGCCGACGGCCGCGCCAAGGCAAGGCTGGTCCTCCTCGGCTATCAGACGAAGGACCTGGGGAAAGAACCAACAGCCAGCCCGACAGCGTCGAGACGGGCTCGGAACGTGATGTTGACGGTGGCGGCCGCGAACCACTGGAAGCTGATCAAGGGAGACGTGACGTCCGCCTTCCTGCAGGCCCACGAGCTTGACAAGGACCCTCTCATCGAGCCCGACGACGTCCTCAAGAAAGCGTTCAACGTGAAGGAAGGAGAGGTGCTGCAGGTGCTCAAGCCCGCGTACGGGATTGGCGAAGCTCCACGACACTGGTGGGAGACAGTCAAGGCGGACTTTGCACGACTCGGACTCCAGGCCTGCGAACTCGAGCCATGCCTCTAGAAGCTCTGGTGCTCGAAGACCAACAAGCTGATCGGTATGTCCATGGCGCACGTGGACGACTTCATCTTGTCTGGTGACAACTTGCATCCTTAGTGGACCAGCCTGGTTCAGAATATTCGTGGCCTCTACAAGTGGGGCACCTGGGAGGACATGAAAGACGGCCTCTCTAGCCTGGAGCAGTGCGGAGTCATGGTCGAGGAAAACGATCAGGGGTTACGTCGAGCTTACTCTGGACCGCAAGGGGCGCCGGATCTCGGACAAGCTGAACCACCTTGCCAAGACGGTCCTGGGGGAGTTTTGTGGCAAGGTATACTGGCTGGGAGTGAACACGATGCCCTTCGTCCTATCGTGGGTGGCCGAGCTCCAGTCGAAGATCCCAGAAGGAACATACCAGCTCTACTCGGCCGCGAACAACATCGTCAAGCTCATCCACCAGCACGAGCACCTGGGGATTTAGATTCACCGACACGACCTGGACGATCTGGCTGTCTTCACCTGGTGCGACGCAGCCTGGGCGAGCCGACCAGACGGCCACTCTCAGGGTGGACACCTGACCGCGCTCTCGACGACCGAGGCCATGGACGGCGAGAAGGCGCAGTTCACGGTGTTGGACTGGGGCTCGAAGAAGCTACGCCGCGTGGCCAGATCGAGTCTCGCAGCAGAAGTACAGGAAGCTGGCGACGCTGAAGGAGAGCAATGTATGGTGCGACTTGTGATGGCGGAGATCCTCTTCGATTGTTCACCGACGCGGAATCGCGTGGAGACACTGAAGTCAATGCCGGCGGTGCTCGTGACGGACTGCAAGGCCTTCTATGACGGAGTGGTGCGGTCCCAGTCTGCTGGCCTGGGCCTCGAGGAGCACAGGAAACCGCCATCGAAGCGCTCGCGCTGAGGAACGCCCTCGATGAGGGCAAGACGGTGGCCAAGTGGGTCCACTCCCACGCTCAGGTCGAGGACGGGCTCACGGAGGGCAACTGGCAGGCCTTCGGAGTGCTCAAGCTGTTCCTGGAGAAACAGGAGTGGCGCTTGATCTACGACAAACACTGGGCAAGGGTATCTTCGACCCAACACGTCCTGAAGATCCAGCGGCTGCCAAGGCGGCCATCGAGAAGCGACGACTGGCCTGGCTACAGACCGAGAGCCGAGTGCCTCAGGCCCCGCCGAGCGAGATCGACGACATCCAAATCATGATCCAGAATCTCCAGGCTGAGATCGACGGGCACCAGAGGCAGATCGCGCTACTCTCGAAACGAGAACGAGGCTCACGCCACTCCGATCCATGTCTGAGTCGCCGAGGGCGACGGTGCACGCGGCAACTCTTTTTCCCCCTGTCTGAAAGTAAAGCTGGTGCAGGCAGTATCCTCCTTTTCTCCCCTTTCCGTCTCTGCCTCCCCCCCTGCTGTTGCTTGCCGTGTCTCACCTTCTCTTCCACCGCCCATCCTGGCTCAGGGATTGGAGGGCGGGGTTTTCACGATATACCCGGAGTGCCGGGAGACGGCCGCACATTGGGGTGCGCGGCGCCTGATAGAGAAAGGAGGAAAACAGGTTTTCTTCAGCATTAGCATTGTGATTATCCAGATAATCGTCACAGCACGTTGTACACTGGCACAGAGCTCATCGAGGATTGCATCATCAGCGTCAAAGGGACCCTGTAGAGCTCTGTGGGATTCAGACCACCACCACCCCGGGGAGGCGCGAGGCGCCGCGTGGAGATGCGTGACCACACCCACGCAGCTGGACCTCCCAAGGGGGGCACACAAACGTGGCGACAACCGCGCTGCCCGCAGCCCCCCGAGGGTGTTTTTTTTTGAATCCAGGTAACCAGCCCCCCCGAGGGACTGGTTATTTGAACACAAAATGACGGTTTGTTTCCATTCACTTCTGGAATTCAAAAAGCCACTCCCCCCGAGGGAGGCAAGGTGCCCCGCAGGGACCTGCGTGACTACACACGCCGCTGGACCTCCCAAGAGCCAACGGACGTGTGCAGCCCCCCCCCAGGAAGCCGCGAGGTCCCGCAATGACCTGCGTGACTACCCACTTCGCTGGACCCCACAGGAGCCCACCAAGGTGGCGAGAGGTGCGCAATTCGCAGCCCCCCCCCGCGGGAGCAACGAGGTCCAGAAAGGACCTGCGTGACTGCCCAGCCCGCTGGACCTCACAGGAGCCCACGAAAATTGCCACGGTTGTGCAGTTCGCAGCCCCCCAGGGAGGCGCGAGGTCCCGAAGGGATCTGCGTGACTACCCACTCCGCTGGAGCTCACAGGAGCTGACGAACGTGGCGAGAGGTGCGCAGCTCTCTCCCCCCAAAGAACCACGATGACCAGCAAAGATCTGCGTAACTACCCTGCGTAACTACCCACTCCGCTGGACCTCCAAGGAGCCCAGGATAACTGCGCAACTCGCAGCCCCACAATGAGGCGCGAGGTCCCGCAAGGATCTGCGCAACTGCCCGCTCCGCTGGACCTCCACGGAGCGCGCGAAAGCAACGACAACTTCTCAATTCGCAGACTTCCAAGGAGGCGCGAAGTCCCGCAAGAGCCTGCGTGACTACCCACTCCGCAAGACCTCACATACGCCCGCGCAAATGTCGAGGGTTGTGCAATTCGCAGCTCCCCATGGAGCCGCGAGGTCCCGCAGGGAATTGCGTGGCTACCCACTCCGCTGGATCTCCTGGGAGCACACGAAAGTGGTGACAATGGCGCAATTTCGCAGCCCCCAGGGCCAGTGGAGCCACGAAGTGCCATACAAATCTGCGTGGCTACCCACTCCGCTAGACCTCCCAAGATCCCAAGAGCACACGAAATTGGCGAGACTTGCGCGGTTTGCAACCCCCCAAGGAGGCATGAGGTCCCGCCAAGATCTGCGCGGCTACCCACTCCGCTGGACCTCCCAGGAGCCCCCCCGAAGTGGCGACAGCTGCCAAGTTCGCAGCCCCCCTCCCCCCCAAGGGAGTAGGGAGGCAAGGAGCCAGGAGGGAGTATGAGGGGGATGAGCATGATGATGATGCTGATGCTGATAATGACGCTGATGCCGATGCTGCTGGTGATGCTGTTGTTGATGGTGATCATAATGATGCTGGTGCTGATGATGGGATGATGAGGGATGTTGATGCCGATGATAAAGATGAATCCGATGGTGCCGATGATGATGATGGTGATGACGGTGACGATGGTGACGATGATGACGACGCCACCGGTGATGATGATGCGGCTGCTGATGATGATGATGGTGCTGATGCTGATAATGCGGGCAA